TTAATTCAAAAATGTGATAAAATTCCTACTGTTGTTAATCCTTTGACAGTTTCAGTTCAGTCATCAGGGAAAAAACGTTTGATACTTGATTTAAGGCATGTAAACAAACACGTGTGGAAACAGTCTGTAAAGTACGAGTATATCAGAATCGTACTCAATTATTTTCAACCCGATTGTTACATGTACAAATTTGATATTCATTCTGCTTATCATTTCATTTCAAAATTTCCATCTCATACTGATTTTTTAGGTTTTTCATGGACTGATGAATATGGCAAAACTACATTTTTCAAATTTTTAGTATTACCTTTTGGAATAAGTACAGCCCCGTATATTTTTACCAAATTAACAAGGCCTCTAATTGCAAAATGGAGAGGAGAAGGAAAAATGATTATTATGTTTTTAGATGATGGTTTCGGATGTGATAAAGATTTACCTGGTTGCCAAGATACTGCACTTTCAGTAAAAAATGATCTTCTTGAATCTGGGTTTGTCCCTAAGGCAGAAAAGTCTTTGTGGGTACCAGTGCAAAATCTTGAGTTTTTGGGGACTGTTCTTGATTCTACTCTAAACAGTGTTTATATACCTGATAGAAGGGTTCAAAGACGTTGAATACTTTAATGGATGTTGAAAATTCCATAAAGAAACACAGGCGGGTTCATGTGAAAAAAGTTGCCAGTTTTGTAGGTCAGATTATATCTATGTCCATTGTGTTGGGTCATATTTCTCAAATAATGACACGAAATTTAAGCATAGATATAGCCAGCGCATTTTCTTGGGTATCTTACATTCATTTAAGTGCAGAAGCATGGCTCAATTAAATTTTTGGAAAGAAAATTTACAAATTTTGAATATTAACAAGTTACATATTGTTGATATTTTCACTAAGTGTGTCTATAGTGACGCTAGTGTCACAAGATTTTCAGGTTATGAGGTGGAAGTGGCTCATGGTTTATGGTCAAATACTGAAAAGTTAAGATCCTCTACTTGGAGAGAGTTATAACTGCTGTATTTAGAGTTATACAATCTCTTAGACAAATATTGAGAGGTCACAAGGTCAAATGGTTTACTGATAACCAGGCCGTTAGCACCATTGTTAAAAAAGGGTCAATGAAAATTGATTTGCAAGAAATCGCTCTAAATATATTTAGTTATTGTTTGAAGAATAGCATTATATTGGATGTTGAATGGATACCAAGAGAGAAAATGAAAAAAGCTGATTATTTGTCCAAGATAATTGATAAAGATGATTGGGGAATATCCTGTCATATTTTACATATGATTGAAAATAAAGGGGGCATACTTGAAGTGGATTGGTTTGCATCCAGTCACAATAATAAGTTACCCACATTTTATTCTCAATTTTGGAATGAGACATGCTCAGGCGTAGACGCATTTGCTGAATTTTGGGGCAAGAAAATGGGTCTTTTTGTTCCACCAGTTATTATATTAGCTAGAGTTATCAAAAAGATGCAGTTAGATAAAGCTAATGGTGTATTGATAGTGCCTTTGTGGGAATCGGCTAATTTTTGGCCGTTATTGTGTCAAAAGGGCAAATTTATTTCAAATATTGTTGACTGGATTGATCTACCAACACACAAAGAAAAGTACACAGTTTGTAAAAATGGAAAGGGTATATTTGGAAATGAGAATCTTAAATTTAGAATGCTGGCATTGAGAATAATTTTTTAGATTTTGTAGTACATATACTGGTTAACCCGTTTCTAGCTGGGGTAAATTATTACATTTTTATTTTATTTAGTTTCAATTTCTCCCAAGATATAGATTGTATCGTTGTTCTGATGAATGATTTATACATGTATTGTTATATAGAAGTCATATCTGTAGTTTATAATGTGGGCGTGGCTGCCTATATAATCGCTACATAGATTGAAATATTCTGTTTAGGCTGACAAGTATGGGTAAGAGTTCGTATTAAGACGACCGTAGGGAGTCTTATCGAACTCTTACCCATATAACTGCAAATCGGCTCTTACAACTCGATATCAGATAAAAATATAGAAAGTGTCACCTCTTTAAATAAGCATAACATTATTTTTCCCCAGCAGTCACGTACAAACAAGGATGGGGTCCAATTACTTAATCTGGCATGTAAAACAATGAGTTTTCAACAATATCTAGGATTGTTAATGCAATTCATTCCTGTCATATGAAACAAAATAATATTTTGCTTACTTTTTTTAGAAAATATAAAACAGTCAGCAATTAATAATTTTTCATTAGTTTTAAAGGATATCAAAATGTTACTGTGTTCACATTTGTCTCTGCGAGCTGAGCTCCACGTGTATTATCTATGTAATAAATTTGAATGTATCCTCACATTACTACAGTGTTATCAGCTATTTTAGAAACACCTGACCTGGCTAATTAAAATATGCCAATCACAATTTTCAATATCAGCACTGGTTTCTTCATGAAATAGCGGCTACACTAATTACTGCCGAGTAAGAGCCGATTTGCAGTTATGCTTTGATAATATGTATAAATTATTTATTTGGCGCAGCTGCCATTATAATTGCTACATAGATTAGAATATTCTATGTAGGCTGACAAGCCTTGATAATATGTATGACATTTTTCATTAATATATATTGTTTAATTGGCATGGCTGCCTTTATAATTGCCAAAATGTTAAACAATGTGACAAGCTTTCGATAACATATGTATGAAAGAGACGATTATAAGTAAAAAAAAAGTTTCAGATTTCATGGTTTATGTGCAATAATCGTGTTTAGTATTATACATATATATATAATGTAGCTTTAATGATAACTGTATGCAACGGAAATTTTATCAATATAACTGCAAATCGGCTCTTACTCGGCAGTAATTAGTGTAGCCGCTATTTCATGAAGAAACCAGTGCTGATATTGAAAATTGTGATTGGCATATTTTAATTAGCCAGGTCAGGTGTTTCTAAAATAGCTGATAACACTGTAGCAATGTGAGGATACATTCAAATTTATTACATAGATAATACACGTGGAGCTCAGCTCGCAGAGACAAATGTGAACACAGTAACATTTTGATATCCTTTAAAACTAATGAAAAATTATTAATTGCTGACTGTTTTATATTTTCTAAAAAAAGTAAGCAAAATATTATTTTGTTTCATATGACAGGAATGAATTGCATTAACAATCCTAGATATTGTTGAAAACTCATTGTTTTACATGCCAGATTAAGTAATTGGACCCCATCCTTGTTTGTACGTGACTGCTGGGGAAAAATAATGTTATGCTTATTTAAAGAGGTGACACTTTCTATATTTTTATCTGATATCGAGTTGTTAGAGCCGATTTGCAGTTATATGGGTAAGAGTTCGATAAGACTCCCTACGGTCGTCTTAATACGAACTCTTACCCATACATAATCACTATTAAATTGTTACATATTGATGTTAGTAATTAATGATACTAATAATTTATTTTTCTATAAATCTGTTTTTTTTCAGTGTCATTCTGACGATATAGATGATTTACCGGAAGTGTTAGTCGACAAGGTGCCTTGGATCCCGGAACTACTGAAGAAAGCACCACCAAAACTTATTACAGAACTTTCATTCGGTGGAAAAAGTGGGCCTTGAGTAATTCCTTGGGTGAAAAGGACATCTTCCCGGCTAAAGCAATTCATATAAATTTTTAGAATTATTAAATAGTGATAATAAGATTATTTTACGTTACCTTGCTTGTTATATACGAGAAGCATTGGCTATGAGAATATCAGTTACACATCGTTGAATTCACGGTTAATCCTCTGTGTAACATAGCGTAGATAAATAAGTATTGATTGCATAATGTCTAACTTTAAATATAGATTACATTTTGCTTTGCTAATATTTTGATATGTTTTGTGTTAACGGAATTATAAATTAAGCAATAAAAACATATGCTTTGCTAACATTTGACTATGATATTATTATGTAATGTGACTTATACTTAAATATATTTAATTGTTTGTATTGTGTAAGACGATGTATTTTGTACAAGTCTGAAAATTAAGTTTCTGTTCTGTTCTGTTATGTTTAAAAAATCTGGCATATTTTGTCAAACACATTTCACAGATAAGAGGAAATTGTAAGTTTTTTTCTCAATAACGTACAGACAGTCATGGCTCTATAGTTTTTGTTTGTGTTTTATCATTAATGAAATAACAAACGCAAATCATGATTCTCGTTACCCAATGAAATCACGCGGTGAAATTTTCGTGCAGATCTCTATACTTGTTTTCTTATGCTTTTACAGTTCGATAAAACTATTTACTGCAATACCCATATAACAAAATACCTTCAAGATTATTGGCATTACATAATATTACTGTCATTTGTTCATACGCATTTGATTTGATTTTGTCTACTGACTTTGTTCACATGTTATAACATTATACTTGTATATTGTAATCTGTGTCGTTCTAAATAAAGTGTGTGTATGTGCGTGTGTGCGTGTATGTGTGTGTGTGTGTGTGTGTGTGTGTTGTTAATGCTTAATGAGGGTATGATTATGCTAATACAACAATTTTCAAGCATCGAAGAATATGTAAAATATATACTGCAAATATTTGTACATATTAAATGTAAACATTAAGTTATATACATGTATGCATTCATTTATTATTGGAAAATTTGACTTAGAATTTATAGAAAACAAACTTCTAATTACCTCCCTTTATTTACATTAAATATCAAATTCGGTAATATCTTTATAAATAATGCTTATCGGAACTTACAAGCAATATTTCGTAATAAATCATTTTGTATTAGAAAGGTAAATATGAATAATATATATCAAACCAAATGTTTAATTTTTATGATCGTATTTTCAATCTCACTGTATTTAATGTATGCAGTATACATGTGTAATGACGATGAACTGTTTTCTTCGAGTCATATTGTTTAACAAAATCTGTTCCGTTCTGCTCTGTAATTTTATTTTGACGGCTTTATAAGTTACAGAAAGTAATAACAAAATAACAACAGGCTGTTTTCTTTCTATGAATTTTTATATCTAACTTTGTCAACAAAAAATGAAGCATTCAATATTTGGTCTTGCAAAAACATTGAAGATTTTAAACAGTTGTTTCTATCCTTTAAGCTCTGCGTTCTTGATCATCTAGTTCACCCCGTCTAAATCTGTATATAAAAATAACGACATAGTTTACTCTCAAGGTAAAATGGGGAAAACAAAATTCCTTAAAGAACGTTTAAAAACAACAAAATCGAAAACGTTGCATGCTCGGTTTGATTGAGCCTGTTAATGGACGGTACTGGTAAGTCCAAGTTACCGTCCACGCCCCTAGCACCAGCTTAAGCAGAATTCAACATTTAAACACGAAAATGGTGAAATTTTGAATTGAGAAACTTCCGCAGATGTGTTCATACGGCTGTTTTTATGGAACCTTTAATTTTACACAGTAGTCAGGGTAGGGAATCACGTGACTTTTACGGTTACGCGTACAGACAATATGGCGGCCTAAAAACCTCGCTTCACATGTGTTTTTCAGGTAATTCTTTATTATATCCCTTTTACTTACGTACGAGACCTGTTGCAGCCTACGCGGAATAAAGAATTGTTGCCGCCTATACCTTATTTTCCACCCCTGTGCTCATAGCTTTTACAAACACTCAAAAATTCAACAGAAATTTTCAATGTTGACAATTATTTTTCGGGTAACATTCACGCAAAATTTGTATTTTTTATGAATTTGATTAAACAACGTCGTGTTAGCAAAGAGAAAATGTTCATAGAATTTCTTTATTTGAAAATGTAAATATTAAGCATGTTAAATGTTGACTGGTCATTTTCTATTCCATTACACGAGAGAAAAATGATTTGGGTAACTCCCACGCGTACTTTTATTGTTGATAACTCCCACGCAATATTTTATGTACAAGCAATATCTATGCAGGTAATAGCCTAGATATTGATTGAAAAAAATCATGATTGATGCATTTAACCTTAAACGTTCATAGAATTTTGAATAATATTTAAAATACCGCCAAAAGGTCCTGGATAGAATTAAGCCCCTATGGATAGCAGAATACATACTCACGTGAATATATTAAATGAAGTTTCGATACAGATGAATTAATCGCAGAAATTAAAATAAAAGTCTCAAATATAAGAAGAAGGTCGATTTCAGTTTAAGCACAATTACAGTTGTCATTTTTCATAGTTTGCAGATATGGACGTTTCCAGCTCGGATATTGTTTGTGGATAATGTTGGAAAACATTTGTCATAATGACCACATAAACTGGCTACTCGGCACAGGACCTTGTAAATGTTGTGGCAAATTGAAACGTCACAGGTATGGCATTTTACTGTTATTCGTAACATTAAGATTTTAAAGACATTCAAATCATTTTATCACTCAGTCTTTTATGTAACCAACTATTTTCAAATTAGTGTCTGTGTTTAACATTAATTTGTTGTGTTTTTTTTTTCAATCTAAAGCAAAAAAGAAAACAACCTAAAGAATATTAGAATGGGTCTTTTATTTTACAAACTAGATAATAAAATCTAGAGGACTTATGTTTGAATGTCATCTTAATATTGACAGTAAAACCCGTAACGTTTCCGATTTGCTGGACTATAAAATGTTTTACCACAACATTTATAAAGTCCTGTGCCGTGTAGACTGTTTATGTGGTCAATAATTGAGATCTATCCGTGAATGAAATGTTTCCCACATTCATCACAAAAATGGAACCTTCCATATCTGCATAATATAGAAAATGACAACTGTAATTATACTAATAAAAACAGAAATACAAAACAATATCTAATATTTTAGACTTTTGTATCAAAACCCGACCTAATTGAATGATTTGGGTTTAGTAGGCCTAACGCGATTGATGTCCTTGGAAATTTATGATTTTACACGTCATAGGGAATAATAAATCTATTTTATATTCTAGATCCTGGTCCTGGCTGAAATTTAGAATATTGCGGCTGTAGCTTGTATACCATACATTCAACATGAAAAGGACTGTCAGGTTTGTTAAATTGAAATTCTTATAATTAATATATATATATTTTATATATCTTTACAAAGTATGAATATTTCATCTACTGGATATTTATCATGTCTTTATAATATATCATTTTTTAGAATACTTTTGTAACGTTATTAATATAAAATTTACATATTTGTTGTTTACAAGATGCTGCATACAATACATTTAAGATAAATCAAATCACTATGTTGATTAATTATATATATAATTTGAAATTGTACATGTAAGTTTTAACTAGTAACTTCTTATTTTATTTGCAGAAGCAGTAGAAGTATTCAAACGCCATCATGAAACACTTGAGACATACCTAGAGAGATCTATAAGAAGTACTAGTGGTAGATTGGAACAGATTGTAGCTTAATTGTTGAACTAAAATGACTTCTTGAATCGTTTGAATTTAAGCTAAACTTGAACTGTATTTTTGAAATAAAATAGCTGAAGTATTTAATAGTGTCTTGATTTTTTTGTTAAACTCTGTTACAGTACTTTGCTTTATATTAGAAATAAAGTATGTTGAAATGACATTGAAACTTCAACGTTGTGCCAACGTTGAATTTCAACGTTTTGTAAACTTTCAAATTCGAACATAAATCCAACGTTGTTTCAACGTTGAAATCTGACCATAATTCAACGTTGTTCAACGTTGATGTGCCTGCTTAGTTCATTCTATCAAGGACTTACACACCTCCTCTACTGTTTGTGACAGGTCTATATTTTTCGGATATAGACCTGTTTAAACAAAAGAAAGTCCGTTATGAGGTCTTACTTTTGCACGTGCACAGGTCTGTTCTAGTCAGACAGACCCGGTCATGAAATACACGTGAAAAAATAGACCTGCCTATGCTCAGACACAGAAAAACATGATGCAAATAAAAATTTTAACCCTTTTAACTAAAGCAAATTATTTCAGCATCCATATTAAATTTTTCAAAAAAAAAAATAAGGATAGCATGTCAAAATTAGGACAAAATTTAAATTTATTTAATCGCTCTTTTTTAAAGTATATAATCTTTTCTGAATTAATTTTCATAATTAAAAAAAAAGGACGGCTTTAATTCATATCTATAAAAACAAAACCAGATAGCAAAAATCACAGCAAAAACTCTTACGTTTTAAAAAAAAAATAAAAAGTTTTTTATGATTTTTTTTTAAAAAAATTTCATGAAAACGAATATTTATTCTAAACATTTTTAAAAATCCTATATAAAAAAATTTCGGTTCATATATTTCACATTTGCCAAAAATTTTATAAAAAGTTTTTCGGGGTTGGGCGGTGTCCAACATTCCCCTTTCGGACAGTTGCCCCTCGGAAGTTTGCCCCCTTTTTGCAATGACGGTCATTAGCCCCCTCATATCTTTGGAAGGGGCGGACATTTGTCCCCCCCACTCCCTGTTTTAAAATATATTTTATTGTTGAATTGCTTGCTACCAAAATTCATCGCCTATTGTCGAAATTTCATTGTGCTTAAATACACAAAAACTATCGCGCAAATTTGTGAAAGTCAAAATAGCATCCATAAATAAATAAAACTAAAATGTTTCCATTGGCATACACGAGATGACAAGTCACAACGGCAAAAAGGGGGCATACGTCCGGGGGCAACTGTCCGGGGGCAAATGTCCTAGAATCTGCATTGTCTGAACATAATTATTCATTCTATAACATATCTTCTATTACAGATCTATTCAATTTATTATTGACAAATTGCACACTTAGTTTTTTTTTATGTTTGGTTTTAAATGGGAAAGCAAAGTATATATTGTATTTAAGCAGAATGTTGATAAAAGCTCACCTGCTGCGTGCATATGCGTTGTGTTAAAAATAATATTTGTGCATTTCATCAAATGCTTCGAATCAGCCATTGCTCAAGCCAAAATATAGTTTTAACGGTGTGTAAGTTGGATATCGGCCTCGTACATCGATCTTTCTGTTTAGGAAATTCGTGACCAGATCTTTCCTAAACAGAAAGACCTCGTACTCGGTCGATATCCTATACATATTGGCGGTATTTTTAATATTATTAAAAAATCTATGAACGTTTAAGTCTATATGCATAAATTATGATTTTTTTCAATCAATATCTAGGCTATTACGTGCATAGATATTGCTTGTACATAAAATATTGCGTGGGAGTTATCAAAAATAAAAGTACGCGTGGGAGTTACCCAAATCATTTTTCTCTTGTGTAATGGAATAGAAAATGACCAGTCAACATTTAGCATGCTTAATATTTACATTTTCAAATAAAGAAATTCTATGAACATTTTCTCTTTGTTAACACGACGTTGTTTAATCAAATTCATAAAAAATAAAAAATTTGCGTGAATGTTACCCGAAAAATAATTGTCAACATTGAAAATTTCTGTTGAATTTTTGAGTGTTTGTAAAAGCTATGAGCACAGGGGTGGAAAATAAGGTATAGGCGGCAACAATTCTTTATTTCGCGTAGGCTGTAACAGGTCTCGTATGTAAGTAAAAGGGATTTAATAAAGAATTACCTGAAAAACACATGTGAAGCGAGGTTTTTAGGCCGCCATATTGTCTGTACGCGTAACCGTAAAAGTCACGTGATTCCCTACCGTGGTAGTACCATTCCATGAAAAGCGGCGTCTGGTCCCCAGGTAAATGAATGCGTGTGCCCTAAACGAGATAGCAATGGACGAAACTAAATACTTAGTAAATGGAATTTTGGTTATGAAGTTTCAAGTCTGCATATCACACACGAGACGTCAAAAGACAAATTTAAAAAGCATGCAACATATCTTTAGGGTGATTTTACAGTATTCAAGTTGGAATACTGGAACCATCCAAGTTGAAAAAGTCAACAGAAGAAACTAAAACACCAAAAACATGTACACACAACAATAACACGCATTATGTTTATTGCTACAACCATAACAACAACGACAATAACAATGATACAGTTTTGTAAAAACACAAAATGAAGAGTGAAAGTAATAATTTTTTATTTACTGAACCTTTGATTACTGTTGATTATCAATATCATATGAATGTATCTGATAAATATATTTTAATCATAAGGAAAAAAATACGAATATAGTAAATTTTATTAAATATCTGACTAACTGTATATCCATAGACTTCCACTTCACACAAATGCATCCAGGTTTCTATGTCCCTTAATGTAACTCTGACGTAACGAGCTTCTACAACGTAAATTGTTAATGATGTAAACGGATTAATAGAACCCCTTTGAAACAGTACCACTCTCCATTTCCCATACTCTTTTGCTACTGAAATCTCGATATTCTCTGCTCTATGAACTAAGATAAAAAATAATATTCCCCATCACAAATACTAAAATATCTGTGAGCTAAGTGGCTGCATATGTTGTTATAATAAATTTTATTGAAACTTTGAAAGTGTAATATCGTACTGTCTTATATCTTGAAAGATTAGCTTCAAAAAATTGTTTTTGTAGACAACTGTTTAATTAGTACTAGTGTACTAGTAAGGCAAAAATAAAAGACTATAATAATGTAAATAAAAAATAAAAATGGAAAATGTATAGGCTCAAAAACACGATTTTTTGCTTTGAATTTTAAAACAAGTAACTATAAGCTTCAAAATTGTTTTATGACTACCTGCGGTTTGGAATAATGTGTGTGTGTGATTTTGTGTGTGCGTGCGTACGTGCGTGCGTGCGTGCGTGCGTGCGTGCGTGCGTGCGTGCGTGTGTGTCAGAGAGTGCGCGCGCGTGCGTGCGTATGTGTGTGGTAAAAAAGATGAAAGTAACATACTGCAACAATCCTCCCTGTTGGTGATATTCACTTGAGTTATGTAATAAACATCCTGAAGATCGACTTCCCACCAGGGACTCACATGCTTATCAGTCATGAAACAATGGTTGTGATACATATTACTGTCCGCGTCGCCATCATTACCTTTGTCAGCATCCCAATTATCCATTTCCCCCCAAATGCTGCTCATATTAGATGGCTTATCAAGAGCAAGATTATCAGAAGCTGAAGCAGAAAGATGCGACGCTATTAATGTTACACTTTGAATAAAAATAAGTCATACATTATAATAAAAATACTTGTAACCTGCATTTTTGTTTCTAATCAAATGGTACATACATGTATACTGTAAAAGGGATTGGAGCCATTACAAAACATGTCAATTCTTTTGTTGAAACATAAAATATGAAATTAGCAAACTCATCTTAACAGTACGTATATATACATAATGTACAAGAGTTAAGACCTCTTCTTGGCATATACATTTTATTTGCATAAATAAAAGTTTACAAAGAAACATGGTTTCATTTATGTGAAGTGGAAGTCTATGGATCGCATAGACTTCCACTTCACATAAATGAAACCATGTTTCTTTGTCCCTCAACGTAAGTCTAACATAACGAGCTTCCACAGGATGAAATGTAAGGGTTGCGGAAGCACCCAATGGACCTTCCTTACTCGCTACAACCGTCCATGCGCCGTATTCTACTGCTTCAGAGACCTCCACATTCTCCGCCCTGTCGGCTAAAATAACGAGAGTATTTTGCATTAAAACATTAGCAATGAAATAATAAGTGAAATCAACAGCTTTAGACGGCTGCACTTTTACAATAGTTTTGGTTTTTAAGATTTTTTTACTGTCGCATTTCTGTTGTCCATACATAGATTCACTCGGCGTTTTTATTCTTTTCAGAGGAAGTAAATGTATACAGCAGTTATTTGAAGACCACAAACATTAATTGTTAACTAGTGGTGGAGCGTGGGCACCTGTACCCGTGGATTACTGGATTAAGCTTGCTTTTATCATCTGACCTACTACATGTAGTATATAGAAATTAGATATTTGCAACATGTGCCGACTTGTCAAATGCATTGCCTTACATGATATTTAACAATGTACGTGTATTCTCAACCGACACATTATTTATTTATAATAATTTATATATAATATACTAGTATAATATGAATGTCAATAATATACAGATGAAAACTACTTACCACAGCAGTCCGCCGTATTGGTCATTTTAACTGTGTTAATGCTATAAACATCCAACAGATCGACTTCCCACCACGGGCTCATTTGTTTTTTCGTACTAAAACAACTGTCATTATACATATTACTATCCGCGTCGCCATCATTGCCTTTGTCAGCATCCCAGTTATCCATTTCGCCCCCAATGCTGCTCGTATTAGACGGCTTTTCAAGAGCAAGATTATCAGAAGCTGAAACAAAAAGGTGCGATGCTATTAATGTTACACTTTGAATAAAAATAAGTCATACTTTATAATAAAACTACTTGTAACCTGCATTTTTGTTTCTAATCAAATGGTACATACATGTATACTGTAAAAGGTATTGGAGCCATTACAAAACATGTCAATTCATTTGTTGAAACATAAAATATGAAATTAGCAAACTCATTTTAACAGTACGAATATATACATAATGTACAAGAGTTAAGACCTATTCTTGGCATATACATTTTATTTGCATAAATAAAAGTTTACTCGATCCATAGACTTCCACTTCACATAAATGAAACCATGTTTCTTTGTCCCTCAACGTAAGTCTAACATAACGAGCTTCAACAGGATCAAATGTAAGGGTTGCCGAAGCACCCAATGGACCTTCCTTGCTCGCTACAACCGTCCATTCACCGTATTCTACTGCTACAGAGACCTCCACATTCTCCGCCCTTTCGGCTAAAATAACAAGAGTATTTTGCATTGAAAACATTAGCAATGAAATAATAAGTGAAATCGATAGCTTTAGACGGCTGCACTTTTACAATAGTTTTGCTTTTTAAGATTTATTTACTGTCACATTTCTGTTGTCCATACATAGATTCACTCGGTGTTTTTATTCTTTTCGGAGGAAGTAAATGTATACAGCAGTCATTTGAAGACCACAAACATTAATTGTTAACTAGTGGTGGAGCGTGGGCACCTGTACCCGTGGATTACTGGATTAAGCTTGCTTTTATCATCTGACCTACTACATGTAGTATATAGAAATTAGAAATTTGCGACATGTGCTGAATTGTCAAATTGTAAAGATAAATTCATTACCTTACATGACATTGAGCAAGGTACGTGTATTCTCTACCGACTCATTATTTATTTATCATTATACATACATGTATATAATATACTAGTATATTATGAATGTCAATAATATACAGAATAAACAGATGAAAACTACTTACCACAGCAATCCGCCGTATTGGTCATTTTAACTGTGTTAATGCTATAAACATCCACCAGATCGACTTCCAACCACGGGCTCATTTGTGTTTTCGTACTAAAACAACTGTCATTATACATATCACTGTCCGTGTCGCCATCATTGCGTTTGTCAGGAGCACCCCAAGTCTCCAATTCGCCCCAAATGATCATATTAGACGGCTTATCAAGAGTAAGATTATCAGAATCTGAAGCAAAAAGGGCGATGCAATTAATGTAACACTTTGAAAAAAATAAGTCATACTTTACATTAAAACTACCCGTAACCTGCATTTTTAATTCTAATCAAATGGTACATACATGTATACTGTTAAAGGTATTGGAGCCATTACAAAACAACATTCTTTTGTTGAAACATAAAAATGAAATTAGCAAACTCATTTTAACAGTACGTATATATACATAATGTACAAGAGTTAAGACCTTTTCTTGGCATATATACACTTTATCTGCATAAATAAAAGTTTACTCGATCCATAGACTTCCACTTCACATAAATGAAACCATGTTTCTTTGTCCCTCAACGTAAGTCTAACATAACGAGCTTCCACGGGATCAAATGTAAGGGTTGCGGAAGCACCCAATGGACCTTCCTTGCTCGCTACAACCGTCCATTCACCGTATTTTACTGCTACAGTGACCTTAACATTCTCCGCCCTGTCGGCTTAAATAACGAGAGTGTTTTGCATTGAAAACATTAGCAATGAAATAATAAGTGAAATCAACAGCTTTAGACGGCTGCACTTTTACAATAGTTTTGCTTTTTAGAATTTATGTACTGTCGCATTTCTGTTGTCCATACATATATTAACACGGAATTTTTATTCTTTTCTGAGGAAGTAAATGTATACAGCAGTTGTCAAGTAATAGTAATCACCATGTAACGCGTGTATAACAAACAAAAAACAAAAAATCCTGGATTTGGTCTTTTTGAACTTCATCCCATTTTATTCATTCCAGAGTGTGTTCTACTTTCAGTATTGAAAGAAACCATTTTTTTAATTTGACATGAAAAAAAATGAATGTTATATTGATATATTATAATATTAGTCCCTTTTGTTACTATTTGTATATTTGTTACAATTATAATAATAAAAAAAACAGACTTTGATATTTTTATCATCTTATGTTACTGACTACAGTAGTGACACAAATAGAACATAGTACAGCCATGTCACATAACATTTACAAGTCTTGTAAGTCTTGTTTGTATTCGATGGAAATACTTTCCTTACCAGGTAGGCATCAGTGAAAGCATTTTTATATTAAATATCTTTCCCCTCTTTTTAATTATGGACAGTGCATAAGATAAGTATAATTATGCAAAAAATGGTTTAAAAAACATTCGGAAAAAAATCTACAATAGTACTTAATCTGAATATAACATGACCTGTGCGTAGGAATAATTTGGTAAGGTATCTGTAATTAGCGCATTTTTTGCGCGGAGCTTCTCAATTGCTGCATTGCAGCAACAATTGTACTTGTAGCTATTTATAGCTTTCGAATTCATGTACAGCAGAACTGCTTTCCGGTTCCCATTCATTAATATGACATGCTGCGAATCACCGACGGGGAAACCAATATAGAAATCGAAAGGAGTTCTTGAATGCGGATTTCATTTTAGCTGTAAATCGAAAGGATCAATTGATCAAATCCGGGCCCATGGACAAAAAAAATAGTAAACACAAATAGCTCCGCGCCTGTGATGAAAGAGATGAAAACTCCTTACCACAGCAGTCCGCCCTATTGGTCATTTTAACTGTGTTAATGCTATAAACATCCAACAGATCGACTACCCACCACCGGCTCATGTGTTTTTTCGTATGCAAACAACGGTCATTATACATATCACTATTAGCGTCGCCATCATTGCCTAAGTTAGATGGAAATCTTCTTTGGCTATTCCAAGTACTAATTTGTTTTGACGGCTTATTAACGGAAAGGTTAACGGCATCTGAAGCAGAGATGAAATTGATGAAATAACTTTTTACATGTGCATGTATTGTGAGAAAATATCTCTTACTGTTCTCAATCTGTATAAATAAAATCTTTTTATTACGACCCGAGAAGTCTTTCCAAATTTCAGGTTTTTCAGGTATTAAGTGTACAAAAGATTAGGCTGATATTTACCTGAATTCAGTGATTCTGTTGTTTCCAGACCAACCAACAGCAGCAACAAACATATCTGAAATATCAGACATTTATAGTATTATTTTCAAAAAATGAATATTTAACAACTTTGTTATGGTTGTTTTATATATATTTTACTTGTTCCCAAAACAATAGCTCTCTAGCGATACCATTTGGGATTTAAAAGTGTATTACAGCTTTAATTCTGTAGAATAAGATGTGTAAGAAATATTATTTCAGGATCTGGCTTCGTTAAACTTAACACTCAACATTTTTAAATTCTATTAAACTTATAATTATAGTATTGGCATCAAGGAAAGGTAATTAGAATTGCTCTGAATCTTGAAACAAACAATGAAGTTTTGATAGTATGTCAATGAATACATGAAATAGATAAATAAAATAAACGGCATACGTCATACCGAGATAGAAAATATTAATATCCTCATGCTTTACAGATTGGCAATTTTCCAGAAGCAAAGTGTATGCTCTACTGAAAGAGGAAAAATATTATTATTCAACGGCAACATCAACTGGTAAAAAATGACTTAGTGGTATATCTGATGCTTTTAATTTATTTATTAATACTATTCATACTGTCTACATATTATGTAAAATTAATCAATTATGTATACCTGGTAAGTAACGTTGATACATAATTATTATCATGCATGCCTTAAGATAACTTCATGTGCGCATGTGCTATCATTTAATACTGAACTACTTTAAAGCTTATAGTGTACAGAAAGTTTATGGCTACTTCATAACAAAAATTACGATATGTTATAAATCAACGTAGAGAAAAAAGTAAAAGCTTCATGACACAGATTATTTTGACCATTTGTCGATATGATCAAAAGGTACCACGTAATGATTCCTGAATTTGTTTTTTTATCGTAAACAGATGTTGAAATTTGGTTTTCAAGTTGACAATATTATGATATAAGTGAATTTTCGAACGTAAAAAGAACTTCACTGGGTTCCAAAAGTGTAAAAAACTTAAAATTCGAATATCTGATAGAGATCAGGTGGGGCACTTAAAAGATAAGAAATAAATATACTAAGATATAAATTGAAAAACAAGTTTTTGCGCAATTCTAACCCGATCTGAGTGAAAAACTTTGCAATGATTTTCAATTTTGAGTCATTTTGTATATGTTAGTGTTCATTCGTGCTGTTCTACAGAAATTTGAAACTTCGACGGGAGCGATAGCGACTGTTGAATGTTTCTAATTTCTGTAGGTATTTGATAAAGTATCGACTTTTGTTCTTCTATGAAAATTAACGCACACAATTTTTAAAAAATACAGTGTTTTCATTGGAGGACAAATAAAGTTGGACACCATGATTCTGAAAATCTCGTTGAACTGAACATGTTATTGTTCATCCGTGCTGTTCTACAGAAATTAGAAACTTCGACGGGAGCAATACCAACCGGAGAATGTTTCTAACTCTGTAGAACAGCTACGAATGAATACTAGCATGTTAAGTGTCAAGCTGCATAATATTTACTTTATTACGTCACGACTATTTTATGAACGCGGTTTTATGACGTGCGATGAAAAATAGACGGCGACTTTAAACGGAATTCGATATAGATCTAGTATCGATTTTTGTTCTTCCATGAAAAGGAACACACACAATTTGTAAGAAATACAGCGTTTTCATTGGATGACAAAGCTGGACACGTTATCCTCATAAACAGATAGACAACGATCAGTAAAACTATCACTGCTGTAACAAATCATAGTTCTATATTTCCAGTACCGGGTGTCGAGACATAACCAGCAACTTCATTAGACATTATAGATTGTACACATCCATGACATGCTATTGCACAGATTGAATTACGACAGTTAAGGAAAAGTCAACGTGATGATCCAATTGTAGGTCTTTGGTTAAGGGCAACTATAGACAAGTGTTTTCCAAGTAAGAATTTGATATGTAATAATAACCATTTGACAATGTCAAGGCACTTAAATAAATTTATTGTTAAACTTGGCTTGTTATATAGAGAAATGGTAAACAAGACAGAAAAGATTTTGCAGTTAGTGGTGCCATCTTGTTTCAGGAAGCAAATCCTGGAAAGTTTACACAATCAAATAGGCCACCCAGGCAGGGACAGAACCATTAATTTGTTAAAAGATAGATTTTGTTGGTCTTCTTATACTGCAGATATTAGTTCTTGGATAGAAAATTGTGGTCGTTGCAAACGTAGGAAATATTCGTGCACCTCTTGTGAATATTGAAAGTATATATCCTTTAAATTAGAGCTTGTAAGAACAGATTTTCTTACAGTTGATTCTTGTTCAATAGTGAAGTTATTAAAGAGAAATGTAAGTTATTAGGGATACAAAAGGTATGAACAACTATATATCACCCACAATACAACGGAATTTCAAAAGGATTTAACAGATCATTGCTAAGTATGCTTGGGATTTTAGAGCCTGAACAAAAAAAAAAAACCGGAACAAATACCTTTAACCACTTGTTTTTGCAAATAATGCAATGAAACATGAATCTACTGGTTTTTCACCGTTTGAATTAATGTTTGGTAGGAAACCAATATTAGCAATTGATAACATGTTTCACATTGATAATGAAAATTCTATGTCTACATATTATGTTAAAGATCTAAAAAAACAGGACTGAATTCGCTCAAAATAAAGCCAATAGAAACTTAGCCGAAGCCAGATCAAAACAGAAGATGAATTACAACAAGAAACCAAAAGCTGCATCACTGCAAGTTGGTGACAAGGTATTGGTTAAAATTTTAGCATTTTCCGGACCACACAACCTTTCAGATAAGTATGAACAACCTATATATGAAGTAGTGGAAAGACCAAATGATGATATTCCAGTATATGTAGTTAATGATCCAGACGGTAGAACAAAAAAGTTGCACAGGAATCATTTCTTACCTGTAGCCGAGATCGAACCAGACTCAAATTTACAAGAAAGGACAAAATTACCTTTAGTTAAAAACAGATTAAATAAAAGTTATAAGGAACACCTACATAAACATGTTCCAAAACCTAGAGCCAAACAGGTTCTGGTACTCCTTGTTTCATATTTAATTCTACATTGATTAAACTAAATCTTTGTTAAATACCTATTTAAAATTGTTTAATACATAAGATGCTGTTTCAGCTGTCTGCTGATATTGTTTTAACCATTGTATGAAATGTTAGAGATGAGAAATGTTGAAATGTTGTATTGATAATTATTTGTAATTAATTTGTGTTTTTATTAACAAATCTCTTGTTTCAGGACGTTTATAGTAACATTATTTTGGCTAAGAAGAATGGAAAGATGTAACAGTTAAACAGTATAAAGAATGAAACTAGATGTGTACTTATTTCTTACAGCCATTACCCAAAATGTCCTCCTGTTACATTTATAATTATTAGTGTCTAGCTTTATTTGTTATCCAATGAAAACACTGTATTTCTTAAATATTATGTTTGTTAATTTTCAAAGAAGAACAGAATTCGATACTATATCAAATAAGATTTATAGTCACCGTCTATTTGTCAAACCGCGTTCATAAAATAGTAGTGACGTAATAAAGTGAATATTATGCAGATGTTAGTATTCATACGTAGCTGTCCTACAGATACAGAAATTTTTAGTGTCAAGCTTTATTTGTCATCCAATGAAAACGCTGTATTTCTTCAAAATAATGAGTGTTAATTTTCATAGAAGAACAAAAGTCGATACTATATCAAATTCTGGATATAGTCGCCTTCCTTCATAGAACCGCGTTTGTAAAAATAGTCATTTGCATAAATGTGCACATGCGCAGCCGCTTTCGTCGGTCGGTTTTGAATATTAATTAAGTAAAAATGACGTCAAAAAGTCAACCTACATTAATTTTGCATTTATTGATAAAGGATATACGTAATAGATATATCATTGCTGCGTTGACGATTTCTGGGTTTGCGTAAATTATACCATAATCACGTGACCTTTCTTATGCCTTAACCTCACGAGACGAAGTCGAGTGAGGTTGCATAAGAAAGGTCCCGTGATTATGGTATAATTTACGCAAACCCAGAAATCGTCAACGCACCAATGGTGTATCTGTTTTAACCTATAGCTCCGCCCAGAAACACTTACTCCTTCGATCTTCAAAACTGAAAATTATACCATAGTCTGGGTATGGTATAATTTACGGTTATTGGAAATTATACTTGGAAGAATTTTACATAAGAAGCGCTGAAGAGCTATAGGTTAAATGTACATGCAGTTCAGATTAAAATCCACGTCTTGGCGAAAAAGAAAATGAATAATGTAAAAGTAAAAACAATACAAGATGTCAATTAATTTTTTTTATTACGAATGTAGAAAAAAGGTCTTAACTAAATTGTGACTTAGAGGAAAGTCAAGTGTGCCTATTCACATTTTTCGGGAGACAGAATGTGAAAGTAGACATTATGTTCTTTTTGAAAATATATTACGTGACCTCGTGTTAACACGTGATATTTAGTGTATACATTTATAAATCACGTCAGATATTAGCTACTGAGTATCTGTTGTCCAACTAATCAAATGTGTATAAATGATATCAGGTAACAATTATCCAACTCATCAAAAATATTTTCCGAAAATAAATGTTTCAATATCGGGCAGATGGAAACTCGCATAATCCATATGCCGCCCTTCATATTACAAGGGGTACATGCGTCTTCGCGCGCAAAGTGATGTAAATCATGCATATTTATAAGGTCAAATTAAAATCCACCATTCAGGTAATTAATAAATAAAGCTGGTAGTGACGTAATAAAATGAATGTTAATGAGGCCAAATTAAGTTTGACACTAAATATGTTAGTATTCATTCGTAGCTGTTCTACAGAAATAAGAAACATTCTCAGGTCGCTATCGCTCCCGTCGAAGTTTCTTATTTCTGTAGAACAGCACGGATGAACACTAACATACAGTATACTTAGAAACTTACTCCTGTCGCCATCGCTGCCGTCGAAGGTTCTAATTTCTGTAGGACAGCACGGATGAACACTAACATAGGATATTTATTCTGTAAAAACGGAATGAGCAAAGATCTAAAATTTGCACACAAGATATTGATATAGACCTACATGAAATGGAATGTTCATTTTGAAAAAGATATTTCCAGTCATGTCATGTCAAAAACTCAGTGGAGTTCCTTTAATGACGAATCATTTTACGAAAAACGCGAACAGTAACAGTCCCAATGCATTCGTGTTCCAGATTATAACTTAAATTCTGTAACGTCATGGGTTTATGAAGACATAAACTTGTATATGTGCTCTAAAATGTACTTTGATATTTCTTCATCTGTAAATTTCAACTACAGTAAAGTTAGTCTTCAGAGTTGCTTCCCACAGAATCTAGAAGCACGAATGAAATTGGAGCTAGATCAATCTAGATACTCTTTCATTAAATTTCAATAAAGCTTTGTGCTTATGACAGTATTGACTTATGTTTTTATTATAAAATCCAGCTATTCGTGTTTCAATAGAGAAAAAAAGAATCCCTAAAGAAAGTCCAAAACGGCAAAATTGAAATTGTTGCAGGCTCGGTTTGGTTGAGTCTGTTCATGGACGATACTGTATAAGTGCAAACTACAGTCCACAAAAATAAAGAATTATAGTTCATTTCTTTCCTTTTTAAAATTTATTACACCTTTTGTAATATTCCATCATTACGAATGATTTTCCTTTTTATATAACATTCTTTCCTTAGGCTTTATAATATACTATTTAAAATATTCCGACTTTAAGAATAACTATTCATGCTGAAAATTCTAAGTAAAATTGAAAAAAATGAATAGACATATCGTAAAGTAAATGAGTGTGTTTATGAATATGACTATATAAATCAAAGTGATATTCGATAAAATCATACTAGCGCATTTGAAAACCCTATCGTTTCTACAAATACATTTCTATGTGTACATGTTTAATGCCATCATCGATAATTATTTTGATAAACGTGTTTATCCGACATCTATACTAAAGTATACTTGTCAGTCAATATACGAGAACCGTGAACATATTTTAATAATTGTCAAATGAATGGTGCAAGAAATGTAATTTCAGTTGAACAGTTCTATTATATAGATAAGTTCAATTATATAGATACTAGCATCAGGCAATGCATTTTACACATATTTTTATATAATTATTTTGTATCAATTAAATAATACAGAATTTTCACTAAAAAAACGTGACGCCCTATTACTATGATATTGGCACCACACAGAAGACCCATGTCGTTAGAGAACAAAGACATATGTCGATTTACTCAAGTAATGTTTCTCTGATGAAAATAATGGAAAATAATGATTCAATACACATTAAGAAATCACAAAAATATTCAAGTAAGTGATAACTTAAAGTAAATTACTAAAATATAACAAATATATTTAATGTTAAAGAAGAAAAGTGAAAATTAAATAATAATATTCTGTACTCACGTGTTTCACTAGTCGTATTTGCCTGTATTCTGTAGCATATTCGGTGCTGAATTTATACTGTTTGTCTTGTAACATATTGTAACGTTTCAAAAGCCAAATATACTGTTAATGCAACAAAAGATTTGATTCATTAGCTGCATTCATTGTTTGATAACAATAGTTTAAAGAGCAAACCTGGCGATGAAGAGAATATTTTCAAGCTGTTGTTTCATTTGTTAAGCCACAAAAGCAAAAAGCATCCAAAACATTTCAAATTAATGTACTTTCTGCATTGTGCGATGAGGTTATGAGGATGTGATTTATAAATTTTCCAGTTTCAGTAGCATGCAATTAATATATGGATTATGAAATGATGTGCACTATTATATTATACTACTACCAAAAGATACATGTACATGTATCCATCAGTCTAAATCATGAATTGACATAATTTTGTTTGCTTGTAAAATTTCTACACTCTACTTCATATTCTGTTTCAAAGCGGGCAGATAACATAGCTGATACCCACGGCCGAACCATTAACATTTGAGCCGCATCACGAAAAAACCAACATATTGCGTTTGCGACCAGCATGGATCCAGACCAGCCTGCGCATCCGCGCAGTCTGATCAGGATCCATGCTGTTCGCTGTCAGATTCTCCACTTGTAATAGAGTTGGTAAGCGAACAGCATATGGATCCTGATCAGCCTGCTCGGATGCGCAGGCTGGTCTGGATCCATGCTGGTTGCAAACCCATTAAGTTGGTTTTGTCATTATTGATTACATGTCATGTTACGTGTTAATCAACCGTGTAAATCCGACGATGAACTTCCCAGCGAGCTTCATATTATATACATGTGTTAAATATATTACATTTTGTATATCATTTTAATATACTAAATATATAAATCTGTCTTATATCTTCTCGTATGATCCTTTTATTCTGCAAAGATATAAAACATACATATATTTGTATGCAATGTGGAAGAAAAATCAAGCTAGGCTGGGGGATGAGTTCATTGAATATCGCTCGTCCTTGTTGATCTTTGTTCACTTAATAGTCACTAACTGCAAAACAGATCTGGATTAATTTGTTTGTTTGTTCGTGTTTTTTAATTTGTTTTTTATTTCTTAAAGGATATTTCTTATAAACAATCATTTTTAATTTAATATTACCGGTAATCCTTACCATTTTTCTGTTAGAAGTTCTGATGAAAACACTTGTACCTGTTTGTCCTACAGTTCCTGAAATATTGGTGGTGATATCTTAACGACAACTGTTGCCTCTCTGTTGGCTGATCATGTCAGAATTTTACAACGCATTCTTCTTTGTACGTTTGTTATGATTGTAGTTAAGTAAAATCTAATGCAGAACACACATCTGAAAATTAACTAGTAATCGGGCAATGGCAATTAAGATTATTGTTCGAACAGTTCTATTCTACGGAAAAACAGAGGGGACATCCATATCGTGACCATAACTCGGACAAAAAATGTTATGGCGTGGCCACGAGATATAACTCAGAAAAAAAAACGAAAAAAAAAACCAAATGCTATCTAGTTCGCACGAAATCCAAATAAGAAAAAAAACCTATCTCCTGGCCACGATATATAACTGAGAAAAAAATAATTTCGTTTTCTCGTTCCCACGAGTTAGTCGGCCAACCAGCTTTTTGTATTTTGTGATCGCAGATCAGAAAATACAATGCTGACATTCAATCTCAGGAACAGCGCTTCCCGGCAAACTTAACAAACAGCTTAAAACTGGCGATGTAAAAAAGAGAAATATTCTTATTTTGTTACAAGTATCCAACAAATTACAACGCATTCAAAGTTTAAAAGTAGATTTTGCTCGGCTATTTCCTTAAAGCTTCGGATTATTGTGATCGGAATTAAACGCCCCCTAAATGAACATTTGTTATTTAGACTTTCTGAAAAATAAAGTAAGGATGTTGACGACGAATTTAGGGCAGTCGACGACCGATAATCAATTTCTACTTCAAGCACCCGTTCCACGTAAACAAAATGCTATGTTGAGCGATGTCGATTACCAAAGACTTTGCAGCGCGTATTACACAAATAAATCTGACTGTCGAGTAGTGAAATATATACATGTCGGACTGTTTGGGCAAGAAGATTTTCGCTAAATAAATTATATACATCAGTATTAAACAACAGATTTACCGTGATCAAAATACCTCGAAATTAATAAGGATGGAAATTCTAAATTTAGAATCATTTGGTTTTATTCAGCCAATTTGTATAATTTCACCGCGGTCCAGGGTTAGGGTGTGAGAGGTCTGAGGTTCAGATCCCAATCGAGGCATTTTTTTAATTGTCTTTCAGCGATTTTAACATTCTTTTTTAAGGTAGACCATGGGTTATGCATTTCCTCCTCTTTTAAGTTTTCAAATAGGCTAGAATCACTTGTCAACTACATTGAAATTGAGGAGCGTGGGTTCAAACCGCAGAAGGGCCAACTTTTTTTCTTTCCTTTTTTCTCTTTAGCAGTATTTGGGTATCTCTCAGATGCCTTATGGAAGAAAAAAGTGTTTGATTTTAATTATATAATAATTATAGGTACTTATTTGCTAAATAATGCCAAATTTAATAGCAAATATGATACCAGATATTTTTTTTAAAGTTTAATTAAATAAAAACTACACGATGAAAGTATTTTATATTTCGCATGATCAAACAGCATACTGTTAAGAAAATTTAGGCAAACTTTGAAAACAGCCCCTATTTGCTCTTGTAATTTATTACCTGAATGTTATTATTTGTTTCAATAGGAAAACATTTTTCATAATGATGCTATTATAAATTATTTAGAGTTCCTCATTTCTGAAAAAAAAAAAACTCTTCTAACAGCAAAGTTTAGTTCAGAAATATATCCATAACTCACAAACCATACGGTAAATTTTATTTAAATTTTGCATAACTGTCATAATTATGTTGCCAACTTTACAGTTCCTTACGGTGTCCATTACTCATGGTCTATCTTAATAAAGGAAGTAGCCACGATATGCAAGGATAAATTTAAGTGTGGCTGTCATAAATCAAAGTGCTGAATGCACTGAATGCGACGGACATGCAACCGGAGAGACATTAAGGCTTTTCAGAAGAAAAAAACACACAAAACACACAAAAGATATAACAGTGACAATTTGTTCCATACAAGTTCGAGATTTGTAGAGCAATCTTTTTTAGGTGTCCCAATCTAATATCATTCAGATTGTCTACTTTCAAGCAGAACACGTCCAAATTGTTAAATACCTAATGAAATTTATGCCTCAAAACTCTGGTCAAACTTGTAACTCAGTGTCCTTATCGATTTTATTTGTAAATAGAAAAAACTGTCAACGAAATATTTCTAAAATAAAACCATGCAAATAAACTTCAAGGATAATACATAATAATGCGAGAATGTTAATTAGAATTGCTTCGTTTTATATTATAGTTGGCATGTAGACAATAAAATATAAGTCATTAGTATTTATAATTTTATTTCTATTGGATATGGCTCATAAAAAATATTTTGGGTAAAATCATCAGCAATTAATGGTGTATTTTTTAGATTTTTTTTCATTAACAAGGCAAAGATGTAGAGGCCAGAGCACATCGTTTTAATTTTAATTTAATATACAGTACGATAGATTGCAAAGATCAGAAAATACCACAGAGCTTGCAGCCCTTTGATTATTCTATCGATTTTATTGGTTACCACGACTTAGATGTGTTCATCTGACTGGTCGGCTAACTCGTGGCCACTATATAGCATATATTTGTTTGTTTTTCCTGAATTATTTCTCGAACGAGAAGTGTTGTTTTCTTGTTTTAGTGTTTCTTTCTGAGTTATATCTCGAGGCCACGAGATAGGGTTTTTTTTTTCTTTCTAAGTTTTATCTCGTGGGAACGAGATAGCATTTGTTTTTGGTTTTGTTTTTGCTTTTTTAGTTATATCTCGTGGCCACGAGATAGGAGGAGAGAAAAAATCGGCATGTCCACTCTGTGCTTCCGTACTATTCATAAAGTTCTCATCAGACAGAAAGTCATAGCACAATGGTATCGGAATCATACAGATCTATGCCTTGAGATTATATAGGCCTATGGTTTGTGATCGTGGATTTCATTTTGCACAATAAAAAATTGTTAATTTCCCCTGAATACAACATTTATAAGTTACCAGACATGTACTCAAATATGTACATACATACATATATACATACATACGTACATACATATGATGATTTAATCGAAATTGAGTGTTTATATCACTGTTTATAATTCAATTTATCAAAAAATGCTGAAATATGTTTGAGTGTGGGTGCTTATGTGGTATAGATTTATGTGGTATAGAATTATGGTTTCTGTATTGACCACTGCGCACTGCCCATTCAATATAGTTTACTATTTTTATCTTGTATCTTAGTTTGGAGACTTTTCTGTTGAAAATGTGTCAGAGTTAAATCGTATACATATACATGCACAGTGTGTTAACTAGAGTGCAGGTATTAGTTACCCACCCGCACTCCAGGGCATGCCCATTGATTGACTCATTTTTGCTGTTGTTTATACTTATTGTAACAGCATAAGAGAACTGGAACAGACATTATATAGATGTCAAATATATACATTCTTTTTACATTATCTCTGTTTCTGTTTACATCTGAAACCACGTGGTAGAACTACTTTCAAGCCGTATATTGTTTCCGAGGTTATTATAGATAATAGCCGAGGCAGTTCCGAATGGGTTGGTAGTACATTTATAATCTTTCCGCCAACAAATGAGTTCCTGGAGAATACAAAAAAAAACTTTTAAAGTCATCCTATAACACACAAAAATACACACATGCAATTAATACACTTTTCTCATGACCAATCAAACCAGAGAGAACTTAAAAACTGGCCACTTCAAAAATTAAAAGAACTACTTTCTAATTCCGTACCGGGGTGAGACCTGATATTTATGGATTGCCATACTGTACACATGTCACTATAATAAAGTATTGACTTAAAGCTATAAAACCATCGATTATATATCTTAATTTAACTAAATGAAGAATGTCAGCACAACCAATGGTAAGCTTGGGGTAAGAAAGTTGCAGACGTAAGCTCACAATACCACAACCAAGCTGGCAGTGAAGAAAAATTGTCACGGCTACAGAGGTATGCCGTCAGAAATTTTTTTTTTATATATAATAAAAACATTAGTAGGCTAATATATGTGTTTAAAAACAGCTAGTGTTATCCTGCTCTAGATTATAAACATATGTACGAATGCTAAAGACACAGATATACAGTACATAATGTTTTTATGCAGAACATATGAATTTCATATAAAATACTTAGTTCATGCTCCTTAGCGTTTTTAAATTACGTACTGATTTTTTCATGTAACGAAATGCGTTAATTAATTCTCAAGAATTCATGGTGCCAAATCATGACAATTTTATCTATACAGGAATCGCTGGAATAATTTACTTTTTAAAAATGAACATATGCGATAAAATATTTATCTCTATTGCATGCTTTTCAGTGGGAAGTAGATAGATAGACATTTTTATTATTTAATTATGTTTTGATATTGTCGCACTGTGATTATCACATATAATTTTCACTGTAGCCGGACTATATCTGAATAAAAAACATTCATGAAATAATTAAATAGAAAATTTATTTCTTTTATATCTAATCTTAAATTATATTTCACTCGTGAACACTAGCTCTCATGACATCTGGTGTCATGCAAAACAAACAAATATCCCGATTATAAAACTCGACGGTCTTTTCGACGGTATTGCGAAGACCGGAGACCGTCAATTAGTAAAACCCAAACATGGCGGACAGCGCTTTCGGTTTGGCGAGATTAGATGGAAAAGTTGCTCTAATTACTGGTTAGATGGGTTTTATTTAATGTTTATGTGTTTCAAGTAGAAATTTTTTTTTTAAACAAGTTTAATCGTTGTCATTACATACAGAGAAGTCTCTTTGAAACAATAATAGTTAAATCGGTCACACGTCACGAACGGCCCCAAAATTAGTCGAATCGGCTTACAGACAACTCATCCCCAGACAATTCACCCTCAACCATTTTTTCCAGACAATTCACCTACCAGACAGTTCACCCCGCATTATTGGAAAAATGACACAGACAATTCACCCCCCATTTCTTTAAATTTAATTTTGATGAAATTTATCTTAAAATTAGAAGATGCAATAAAGAAATTTGTTGTGTTTCTTTACTTAATTGATATTTATAAAATATTTAGTCATATTTAAATTAGTTATTATAATTTACCGTATTACTTAAAGTTAATATTTGTTACTATGCGTTAATATTTTTTCATATTATTTTACATACAAACTGTAAAAATTACAAATTCACCATTAATTTGTCTTAATTTGTTTAAGTGCTTTTGATGTTATTATAAGATGACATATCAAAGATATTAGTAAACATGTGATCATCATTTGCTCTAATTAGGTGTTAAGTGACTCTTATCTAGATAGATGGATAGATATGGTAATTATCTTAAATCTTTGAAGTTCTGATTAATTTCTAATTATATTTTACAAGTGAAATTTAAAAGCTAAATTATTTAGAATCAGGTACGTATATTTATATATATATATATTTATATACGTACCTGGTAGAATTGATAATTAAAGTAACCCATTCAATATTCAAACAACTCATTGGATGCTTACTTTGATTTTTTTAAACAATAAACATGAGGGGTGAATTGTCTTATCAATTTTTGGGGGTGAACTGTCTTGAGGGGTGAGTTGTCTTCGTTTTTTTGGGGGTGAATCATCTGGGGGGCAAGTTGTCTTGTTTCCGTCGAATCGGCCCATAGGTGTTCGGCGCGTTGATTGGTCACTACCCCCGGGCCAACTCACCCCCCCCCCCACCAACTCTACAATCCTCCTACCTCTCAAAACCATGTAAACTGCAGTATTTTTCATTTTAAACATGTTTAAATATTTGGTATATGCTTTTAATTCAATTACCTTCATCTCCCACAAAAAATAAAAATCTCGAAGTCACCGCAAGTGTAACTCGACAGAGACCTGACCGCTGGGTTTTTGTCAAAATTACCCGACTAAACGGCAGTTTATTCGAAATGAATGAATATTTTTTTGTATTGTGCATATAAATATGATCAAATTATATTATTATTTGAAATAACTGTTCAATGAAAACATCATATGAAACTATTACGAACCGTTTTAATGATTTGTTAAATTCTCCATCCAAAATGAAAGTACACATGTATAAACGGATGTATTTGTATGGAGTATTTTCATTGGTTGTGTGAAAACCTTAGACCAATGAAAATACTCCGTACAAAAAAATAAAGAGGAGAGCACTCTGCAGAACAATTACTTGGATTCAGATTTGGAATTTGACATATCGGAAAACGGTTTGTTATAGTTTTATATGACTTTTTGATTGAACAGTTATTACAAATAATAATATAATTTGATCATATTTATATGCGCAATACAAAAAAATATTCAGTCATTTCGAATAAACTGCCGTTTAGTCGGGTAATTTTGACAAAAACTAAGCGGTCAGGTCTCTGTCGAGTTACACTTGCGGTGACTTCGAGATTACATATCTTCTAAAAACTTGAAATTAGTGTTGGGTATCGGAATCAAAAATCACTATCGATAATCGGACCACCACAATCGATTGTCTGCCGATAGTACCATCGAGTTCCGCACTTATAATGGCCCTTTTTTCTTTAGTATGATTTTCACTTTGAATTCAAAACAAACAACACAAATACCTAAAACTACTTTGTGACAGTCAATTTTTGTAATAAACAACTTTATGGCAGTCAATATTAGCACTAGTCAACAGGTCAAAATATCAATGAGTAGTATTGAAGATCACTTATTTAACTACAGTAGATATATAAATTTATAATGTTATGTTACTGCACACTATAATTTTCTAAAGTAGTATTAACCATGTTAAATAGGTTTTGAATACAAAAAATACTTTAAAATTGTCTGGAATTAAAGAGATTCGGTCGGGAAACTTCTTTTTGACTGCATGTAAAAAAGTTACGCCATAGGCAATTCAGCAGTGGTAGAACATTAAAATAATCGATTTTTAAAAAGGACTATCGATTGTTGCCGATTATGGGGTGGTCCGATTAGTTATCGATTTTCAGAGACAATCGGGACAACACTACTTGAAATGATTATAATGACACTTAAATTCCTTTAAGAGTAATCAATTCCCTACCATTGGGTACCAAGATATTGAAAATTGGTGAAAAATGTTGGAGTTATGGAGTTCATATTAAGATGAGTGCTGAAAAATGAGCGGCGAGTTGCATACCTTTACTAAATATATGTATCATTTTTTTAATTTTTTGTGGGAGATGAAGGTAATTGAATTAAAAGCATATACCAAATATTAAAACATGTTTAAAATGAAAAATACTGCAGTTTACATGGTTTTGAGAGGTAGGAGGGGGGGGGGGGGGGGGGGGTAGTGACTAATCAACGCGCCGAACACCTATGGTTTCAAGTACCTGTGTAATAATTGTTATTAATGTTATATTGCAGATGTGCTATGATTGTTGATTGATTTCTACATTTAATTACAATTAAATATCTTCATATAAAGGCTATCTTCCCTACCCACCCCACCACCCACCCATTCTACCCACCAACCCACTTATATTCCCACCCACACACCCACCTTCCCACCTAATAAATGACCCAAAAGGTCAAATTATTGCAAATTATTGAAATTGCTGTAACTGGCTATAACTTTAATATTAAGGAATGCATACATGTGACATCCCGGCGGGATTTAAAAAAATCCCGATATTTCAACACTGATCCCGATTCCCGATATTACAGCTTGAATTTCCGATATTTAAAAAAAAATCAACATAAAAAAAATCAAACACAGCACCTGTATCTAAAATGTACACCATGCCTCCGGGCATTGATTGTTATCTGTCCATATCCTAAATTATAGCGGATTAAATGTTGAGTCGCTAATTGACAGCAAGGTGACGTAATAAACAGTTCCAATACCCAAAGTTATTCTCACATGTTTAACTTATCACTTGTCGTGTGTCAGTCAATTGACCTCTTTTGTAATTTGGCAGTAGGTATTATCGCTACGCTACGTCCTCAAAACTACCCTGTAAATTTACATGTATGAATTCGGCTCAATCTTTGATTTTTGCGACGGACGCGCCCTCAGGCGCGTTCAGAGCTAAGTCATCTACACATGGGATTTCGTTGGCTACACTCGCGCAATGTGTCCTAAACCGATTAACAGCCCAAGAAATAGTACATGAATTTGATCCTTCAAAACTCCCATACTTTGTCTGGATATCTTAATGTCTTCCATATTTAGCCTTTTCAATTTCAAATTAAGTTATCAAAGTTAAAATATGAACGTATATTATTGATAAAAACGTTATAGTCCCGTAGTATTATTGCGCATTATGCAAATTACTGCTGAAACGATTTACCGCTGTCGGAAAAGTAGGACAGCAAATTATACTACTATAAAGGTGTAACCTTTGAGTTCCAAGACATTATTAGTAGGAAATAAATATTTCTACATTATACAAAACATTATTATTAACAAATCAAAAGTTTTTCGTGACTCTAGGATAACTCGCGCATTAATAAAAGAAGAACTATTTTCGTGACTCATACCGCGGTTTAGCTGAATATTCAGCAGTTATTAATATATTAGATTCAGTACAATAGTTAGTATAAATATCTATTTTTGAAAATGCATGTAAGAAGAGAGTTTTTCAACACTTTACCGCCATGTAGTCTTTCATGGTAAGGAAGTTATAATATCAGTTCTACTTCCGATTCTTGTGGTTTGTTTACATATTTTTCTAGGTCATGATATGAATTAACCTTCGCTATTCTAAAAATAGATTCTGCTTCACCTGTTCTGATTTTTGGACAGGTGATTAGGGAGTACACATTATACATGTAATTAATAAACCAGCGGATAACATGCAATACTTTTAGAAATTCTATACAATTGTAAGAAGAAAACAAGTTGAAAATGGAATTTAGTGTGAAATTGAAAAGGACAACTAAACACTGTAGTGCTTAAGTGACATTTAAATTAAAATAAAAACGATGTGCTCTGGCCTCTACATCTTTACCTTGTAAATAAAAAAAATCTAAAAAATACACTATTAATTGCTGATGATATTAACCAAATTTTTTTTAATGAGACATATTATCCAAGAGAAATAAAAATACAAATGACTAATATTTTATTGTCTATATGCCCCCTATGATATAACACGAAGCAATTCTAAATAGCATTCTCAAATGTATAATGTATTATGTTTGAAGTTTATTTGCCTGGATTTATTTTAGAAATATTTCGTTGACAGTTTTTTTTTCTATTTACATATCATTTCTTAGAATAAATCGATAAGGACACTGATTTACAAGTTTGACCAGAGTTTTTAGGCATGAATTTCATTCTGTATTTAAGTGCTTGAAAGTAGAAAATCTGAATTATATGAGTTTGGGACACAAAATATACTGCTCTACAAATCTCAAACTTGTATGGAACAAATTTTCTCTGTTATATATTTTGTGTTTTGTTTTTGTTTAAAAGAAGCCTTAATGTCTCTCCGGTTGCATGTCCGTCGCATTCAGTGCTGCAGCACTTTGATCTTTGATTAGTGCCGCACTGATAAAGATAAAAGGTGAGCAGAATCATTTAAAGTGGATCATTCAAAACCTGTTTCAGATGTCTAATTAACCTATTTTTAGTGAATGGGTAATTTTTTGTTTTGTTTAGGAATTACACAATCATCGAGGCAAAAATGTGGATTTAATTAACGGAACGATTCTTGCATTTATTTTGAGTCTTCTACTTATGTTACGTTATTTAACTGTCATAGTCTTATGTTCATGAATAGTTGTTGCACGTTTTCAAGTAGCTTGTGTTTAATTATTGAATGACTGAAAAGACATATAATTCTTCAAACTGAAAATAATGAAATGTGAAAGTGTGACTGTTCTAGAAATAGCCTGTATGACTACACTTATTTATTTATCTATTTTTATGCTCCCCGAAAAATTTCGGGGGAGCATATAGTCGGCGCCTTGTCCGTCTGTCCGTCCGTCTGTCCGTCCGTTGTCTTGTCCGGAGCATAACTTGAAAACCCTTGGAGATAATTTGTTGAAACTTCATACAGTGGTAGAGGGCATCGAGGGGGAGTGCAGTGTCAAAGAACCATATCTCTATTTTGCCCGGTTTTTGAATTATCTCCCCTTATAGAAAAATCTTGTCCGGGGCATAACTCTAAAACTATAAGAGATATCAACATGAAACTTTGTAGGTGAATAGATCTCAATGGGTAGATGTGCAGTGCATAAGAACAATAACTCTTTTCATCCTAATTTTGGAGTTATTGCCCTTTGTTAATTTTAATACTTTGAACTTTGTCCGGAACATAACTTGAAAACCCTTGGAGATAATTTTTTGAAACTTCATACAGTGGTAGAGGGCATTGAGGGGGGGTGCAGTGTCAAAGAACCATAACTCTATTTTGCCTGGTTTTTGAATTATCTCCCTTATAGAAAAATCTTGTCCGGGGCATAACTCTAAAACTATAAGAGATATCAACATGAAACTTTGTAGGTGAATAGATCTCAATGCGTAGATGTGCAGTGCATAAGAACAATAACTCTTTTTGTCCTAATTTTGGAGTTATTGCCCTTTGTTTATTTTAATACTTTGAACTTGAACTTTGTCCGGAACATAACTTGAAAACCCTTGGAGATAATTTGTTGAAACTTCATACAGTGGTAGAGGGCATCAAGGGGAGTGCAGTGTCAAAGAACCATAACTCTATTTTGCCTGGTTTTTGAATTATCTCCCCTTATAGAAAAATCTTGTCCGGGGCATAACTCTAAAACTATAAGAGATATCAACATGAAACATTGTAGGTAGATAGATCTCATTGAGTAGAGGTGCAGTGCAAAAGAACCATAACTCTGTTAAGCCTTATTTTTGAATAATCTCCCCTTTTAGAAAAATCTTATCCAGGACATAGTTGTAAAACTATAAGAGATATCAACATGAAACTTTGTAGGTAGATAAATCTCAATGGGTAGATGTGCAGTGCACAAGAATCATAACTCTACCTTGCCTAATTCTGGAGTTATTGCCCTTTGTTTATTTTTACTTTTTGAATTGTCCAGGACATAACTCGGAAATCATAAGAGATATCATTCAAGAAACTTTGTAGGTTGATAGATCACATTGATTAGAAGTGCAGTGCAAAGAACTGTAACTCTGCCTTGCCTAATTTTAGAATTATTGCACTTTGAACTTTTTCCACGGACATAACTCTGAAACTACAAGAGGTGTACTTTCCTGTGTCCAAAACCTATTCGGGGAGCATCACCCGGCTCAAACCGGGCTCTTGTTTTTTTTTTTTTTTTTGGTGAAATAAATTAATATTGATCAACAAAAAAATCATAAAAAGTATAATCATTTAATGATTTTGAGGGTAATGTAGATTCTTTGAACCAAATGTGCCAAACACGCATTGAAATTCGAATCGATAAAAAAATCCAGTTTTGAGCCTCAAAATCCAGCTGAAAATCCAGATTTGGCCCATTTCATTTGTCACATGTATGGGAATGGATGTCATATTATAGCACAACATTCTTTAGGATAAGATCTCCATGTACATTGTTTATGTTGTTACAAACTAAATTAATTTGGCCAGAATTATCACATTGATTTTCCCATTTGTACACTAGAAAAATTGAAATACATGGCCATTAAAAAAAGCTTTAAAAACACTTATCTAATTATCCATTATGGAGCATATTTAAATTTAACCTTATTAATTCTATAAATTTGATTTTAAGGGTTATTATTTTACACTTACAGTTAAATACTGGTTAATAAAAATATGATTACAAATTTAATTTTAAGCTTTAACATGATATCACCTAAAATGTTAAAACTGCTGATTTTAAAATTTACTTATTTATATTCATGAATAGGCCATATATTCCCAAAGTTTTTTTCTTACAGCAGCTAAACAATGGATGCCCCCTGGCACTTGATATGCAATTATCCAATACACATATGTGTCACCTTCCCTGGCCAGCCTGGTCATATGGTCTAGTGCACTAGAAGTGCACACGGTGTGCACTTCTAGTTCAGCTCTATAGGCTAGAAGTGCACAAGGGTGGGAAGTTTAGTGTGAACTCAACTGTATATCAAACTTAAATTGACCTTGGCTCTTTTATGACCTTGACCTTAAAGGTTAAATTTTTTAATTTTCACTTTTTGCTAAACTTGGTAATGAATAATTTGATTATATTTATATTTTGACAAAACAACAATTTTGACAAGACCTTCTTTAAAAAGGTTGAATTGACCTTGACCTTTAAATGACATTGAACATCAAGGTCAAAGTACTGAATTTTGTTTATGATTCATACAATGTATGATAATGTACTTGACAAAACAACAAGAGTGACTTGACAGGACCTATAAAAATAAAAAGGGAACACTTTTATTTTCTTAATTTTTAAAAAAAAAAATTGTTTAAACTGTTTTATTTGTTTGCTATTTAAATAAAAATAAATAAGCATTGCCCCACCTGGCTTTGACTGTTGTTCAGATATCTGATAATCAGAATCTACTGTCCTGGCCAGTAAAGGACATCTAAAGTTGGCTGTTTTATTGGTCGTATTTTTCACAAGTAGCTGCAACATATATATATATAAATATATAGTTATAAAAATGATTAAATGATTTGTTTACATAGGAGCTAGCTCCGGAATTGGTGCAGGTACAGCCCACATGTTTGCCAAACTTGGTGCTAGACTGGCTCTCACAGGTAGAAATGAAATAACCTCAACAAACATGGTGATGAATGTGAAAAACTTGGAGGAAACAAGGTGTGAATATTGTGGGCATGTTCCACAACTTTTTAAATCACTTTAATTAAATATTTCCATTTAATTTAGTGGTGAGAAACTTTTTTAGTTATCCCTTATCATTAGTTCCCCTAATTATATAATATCCACAGTTCTATAACCATACAAGTTAAAGAACAACCCTGTACCACCCCAGTCTTTTGATAATTTTTTGTTCAAATACACTGCTTGCTCACTGAACTTTATAAAAAGTTTATTAACTGCCAGTAAAAGATGCTTTGTATGTTTATAGGTACTATGTCTTCCTGGAGATCTAACAATAGAGGAAGATGTGAAGAGAATTGTTAACGAAGCTGTAAAGCAACTATGGACAACTTGATATTCTGGTAACATTGTTATCTAAATTTAATCTTGTTCTGTGTATAAGATATGTAGGCATTAGAATCAAACAGTAGTATTAAACTTGTATCACATTTATTTAATATACAATAGTAGACATGTTAACTTTGCTTAGTGCCTTTTTTGTATTAATATAACAGATAGTGACTTAAATTGTTTTTATGCCCTTACATCATCAGAAATGGGTTGGGGGTGGCATATTGATTTTATCCTTCTTTGAATAAATTTTTGTATTTGATACAAAATTCTACAGGACCATTTAACCATTTTCATGTACTTAAATTTGACCATGAATCCTATTAATGGCATTGATGCTGATGGTTTATTTCAGAATATTATCATTTTTATACGCCCGTTTGAAAAACGGGACGTATTATGGGAACGCCCCTGGCGGGCGGGCGGGGGGGGCGGCGTCCAATTTTGTCCGGAGCATATCTCCTACATGTATGGGAGGATTTTAATGAAACTTTGCGGCGTCCAATTTTGTCCGGAGCATATCTCCTACATGTATGGAGGGGATTTAATGAAACTTCATAGAATGTTCACCACTATGAGGAGCAGTGTCGCGCACATGAACCAGGTCTCTAGGTCAAAGGTCAAGGTCACACTTAGAGCTCATTGAAAAATGCTTGTCCGGAGCAAAAACTTCCACATGTATAGAGGGATTTCAATATTACTTGGCACAAATGTTCACCATTGTGAGGCAGAGTGTCACGTGCAAGATTCAGGTCCTTGCAGCCAAGGTCAAGGTCACAGATAGAGGTCAAAGTTCAGATAAAATTATGAAGATGTGTATAGGACCATTAGTCATCATTTATTGAGGGATTGTAACACAAAGGATGGTCATTATCAAGACTATGGCTGTGATACATATAATTTAGGTCAATATATACAAGGTCAAGGTCACTAAAGATGATGAGATATCCAGATTTTGTAAATAGAATTTAATCAAAGGGGGACAACAAAGTTATTACTTTGTTTTCATAAATGACTTACACAATTACTCCCCCTTGATCTACTTTCACTTTCAATTCTAAAAATAGAATTTAATCAAAGGCATAAAATAATCCTCTTTCTTGGACTTGAGTATGTTATAAAGAATGTAACATTTATTTACACATGTTTCATTCATTGGTCAAGATTCTTAACTGTGAAACTATGGTGTTCTGTAGACTTGGTATTTGTTCATAAAGATCATACAGTAATTACCTTATCAAATGTAAATACTTTCTCATAGAAATTTAATTATATTTTAATTTTCAAGTAAATATCAGTTCAGCTCTCCTACATGTATGGAGGGATTTTCAACTGAAACTTCATAGAAATGTTCACCACTATGAGGAGCAGTGTCGCGCACATGAACCAGGTCTCTAGGTCAAAGGTCAATGTCACACTTGGAGCTCATTGAAAAATGCTTGTCCGGAGCAAACTTCCACATGTATAGAGGGATTTCAATTACTTGGCACAAATGTTCACCATTGTGAGGTGGAGTGTCGCACGGCAAGATTCAGGTCCTTGCGGCCAAGGTCAAGGTCACACATAGAGGTCAAAGTTTAGATAAAAATATGAAATTGTGTATAGGGACGATTTAATCATCATTTATTTGAGGGATTGTAACACAAATGGTCATTATCATGACTACGGCTGTGACACATGTACTTTAGGTCAATATATGCAAGGTCAAGGTCACTAAAAGATGGTGAAATATCCAGATTTTGTCTGGAACATATCTCCTAACATTATGGAAGAATTTTTAAAAAATACTTTATGGAAATGTTCACCACCATGATATGTATTGCTCCATGCATTGATCCAGGTCTCCAGGTCAAAGTCAAGGTCACACTTAGAGCTCATTGAAAAAAACGCTTGTCCGGAGCAAAACTTCTACATTCATAGGGGGATTTCAATATAACTTGGCACAAATGTTCACCATTGTGAGGCTGAGTGTCGCACGCAAAATTCAGATCCCTGCGACCCAAAGTCAATGTTACACATAGAGGTCAAAGTTCAGATAAAAATTTGAAGATGTGTATAGGGGACCATTTAGTCATCATTTATTGATGGATTGTAGCACAAATGGTAACTATCATGACTACAGGTGTGACACATTTAATATCTAGGTTAATTTTGAATCAGGTCAAGGTCACTGGAGATGATTAAATATCCAGATGTTGTCCGGAGCATATTTTCTACATGCATGGAGGAATTTTTAATGTTACTTTATAGAATTGTTCACCACCATGAGACGTAGTGCCCTGCACATAAACCAAGTCTCTAGGTCAAAGGTGAAAGGTCACAGTTAGAGCTCATAGAAAAAACGCTTGTCTGGAGCAAAACTTCTACATGCATAGAGGGATTTCAATATAATTTGGCACGAAATGTTCAATCATTGTGAGGCTGAGTGCCGTGCATAAAATTCAGGTCCCTGCAACCAAGGTCAAGGTCACACAATCCTGTGCATATCTTCCCTACTTGATTTGTTTTAAGGTTCATTTAAACAACACAGTGCCAAGAATAAAAACTTGGCTTGCTAGATAACACTTATCCATAATGCCCCCATCTCCATCTAAAGCTTTCGTAAACGGCGTATTTTGTGACTATGGCACCCTTGTTTAGCTTGAATTCATTTTCAAATAAAAAATAGAGAGTTTTTGTTACTGTCGTGGTGTGTTCATAGTTGACTAGTGAATATTTTCCTGCTCAAATTATTGCTCGATCTTCTTGCTCAATTTTTGCTAATGTGGCATATAATCATGATATATCTTTGAATAGGAGTTGACTTCAAACTTGACACAAACAATCTTTTAGATGACACTTCAATTGTATACCAGAAGACATGTGTCCTTACAATTTAAGCAAAGTGTATTTTTAACTTTCACCTCGATGCTTGGTTACAGGTGCGCTATGGATCGTTGCATGTCGTCCACATGTTGTCGTCACACCTTCAGCGGTCAATATTTGCCTCAAATCATCGTGATACTGATGTCAGGATGACTCTCTAGTAATTTTCTGGGAGTGAGTTGAGTTAGAACCTTAGTGGATTTATTCTGGGATGAAAATAGAAGGGCATAGAGCTTAAAATACGCGAAATGTCTTAGTTCAACACTCTAGGTGACAATGTTTGATCAAGTATATCTGAAATTGGTACTGAAAGTTTGATTTGATGATTTCTAGGTCAATTATGAATTATGGGTCACCTTGGGTAGAAAAACTAGGCCACACTGCTCAATTATGGAAAACCTTATTACACACTAGTGGTCACAATTTTGCCATAATTCATCATCAAACTTGTCATAATGCTTGTCTAAGTAATTGCTCTGAATTTTGAATAAAAGACAAGGGTCACAGGAGCTAAAAAAAAGAAAAGTATTGTAAACACTCTAGTGGCTACTGTTTTTGATAAAAAAATCCTGGAAATTGGTCTGAAAGTTTGTTTTTGATGTTTCTAGGTGAAGTTTTGATATGGGTCACCTGTGGTCAAAAACTAAGTCACACCGCCCAAAGAATGGAAAAACCTTAAAACACTCTAGGGTCACTTTTTTGACTCAATTTATCAGACTTGGTCAGGATGCTTTGTCTAGGTAATTGCTTAGGTGAGTTTTCGAACATGGGTCATCTCGGATGAAAAACTAGGTCATACGGAGCTAAAAATAGATAAATCTTGTTAACACTAGTGGCTACTGTTTTGACTGGGGTGTCTCTATTGATTTTTTCCAATATTATGTATATAGTTAAAAACTAAAAAACAAATTCTTCTTTTCAAAACTCAAAATAGCTAAGCTTAGATCATAAATTATATGAAATGTTATCTTTCTAATGTGGACGCCTAACCAATGTTAAGTCAAATAAGGGCACTTGGGTTAAAAAATTTGGCATCCGCATGACCGAAGATTTATTGATTTTCAATTATTGTTATGTATAGGTAAAAACTAAAAAATGGCTTCTTTTATACATAAAGACACCTAAGGTATAGAGCTAGAGTTTAAGATACTATGCATGAATATAATCTACTAATAGTGAATGTTCTACCCAGTTTGTTCAAATAAAACACCCTGGGTCAAAAATTGGCCCCTCCCGGGGGGGGGAGAGGAGGTCAATATAGTGTGTTTTCTCCTATATGTGTATAAATTTATTAGTAAAAACTTAAAAAAATTTAAAGAAAACCCACAGAGCTAGAGCTTAGATATTCATTCTGAAAATTCTTCTAATGTTTGGTTGTCTACCAAGTTTGATTCAAATACAAAAAGCACCTGATGCCCAGGTTCCTATCTACTAGTAGTGAGCGATTTCAGGGCATCATGGCCCTCTTGTTTAAATAACCTTACGCATTAAAGTTCCTCAGAGGTTGAGCTAGTTGAGTGCATGTGTGAGTTCTGTTGATTCTCGCACATATTTCTCCGGTTAGTAAACAACAGTCTCCCTTCACCATACCTACTGGCAGGAGATTTTGAACAAAACTTTACATAGAGGATGTATTTTTTGATGCAATGCTTAAACAACAATTCCAGGTCTTATATATTTAGGTCTTTGTAAGTATTTTCATACCTGAATTGTCTACAAACTTGATTATACAACAAACAAATTTATTACAGCTATTTGGTCAAAAATGACAATGAATGTAACCATATTTTAAGCATTTGGTATCTTAGTGCAGAATCCAGAGGCATCAATGACTTCTCTTGTTTTTAAATGAGCTTGTTATGAATTTATATTTTATTCTTACTCAAATTATACAAAGTTTTATAGACATTTTTACATTTGATCATTAGAATTGTATTCATTGCGTTCTTTTTAAATCAATAAACATAATTTCTATGATTTTTATAAAATCATAAAATATTTTCTATGATTTTTTTTTAAACCTAAAATTGTGCTATCTTCATGCGGCTCGGGGTTAACAGCAGGCATTGTGGAACTTGGAACTAATAGAGAATACTCAATCTCACTTTTTAGAACGCCATATGGACAGATCATTGATACAAATGTTCAGGTGCATGAGGGTGATTTCATACTCGTATTCCCTA